AAAAAAAAAAGCTTGCGCAGGAGCACCACCTTGAACTCTTAGAAAACAATTGTTGTTAAACATAAACAAAGTTCAGACTGCATTGTTTATGTTCCGTTTAAGCACTAATCAACTTCGGTCTTAATTGCTGCGAAGCAGCCAATTTATATTGTTGACAGCAATTTGACCTCTGAAAGGTCATTGTTTGTCAAAAAACAAGGGCCTAAAACGACTGAAAAGCGTAGTTTTCTTCTTTCGTTCTGCCGGGTAAAATCAATTACTTTAGGCGACGTTTGTAGACTAACCTACACGTACCAACGTCTGCATTTCGCGACGCTCGAGTATTACTATTCAGCGTTTTTACTATATTTCTGGGTTTCCTATTTCTACGTTTAATCGGCCCATGTCTCAGCCACAATATTTTGAGGCCAATTTTATTTACGAACCCACTTAAAATTATTTATTAGCCTATTTCAGCGTGCTAATTATTACATTTAGGCGACGCTTGTTGTAGACTGGCATACACGGTACCAACGCTCGTTTTTACTATGTTTCTACGTCAGCTCGAGACGATTGAGTATTACTATTCAGCGTGTTTACTATAACCATGGGCGGTATAAATGTCAACTCGGCCCAAGTCTCAGCACAGTATTTTGAGGCCTATAGTATTTACCAACCCAGTTAAACTTATTTATGTCAACGTGCTAATTATTACACTTTAAAACAATAATTAAAAATGTATTATACTAGGGGGCCGCGAAACTGTGGCCAAGTTGACTTGGTGCCGAGTTGACTCGAATTCGATCATGCTTACGTTGTGTGGTGCGTTAGCAGTCAACTCGCCTCTACAAACTCGCCCCGAGAAAATTCGCCGCCTTGAAAACCCCCCATACTAAATCATCTCACCAAATAAAAAATCCTACTCTAGGCTAGGTTTGCTAGGATGGTATAGGCCTAGCCTTGAAGGGACGAAGGTCCCAATGAAAAACAACGTCGCTACTTGATAGCTAACATTGTCTATTTAACATCACAATAATTCATTATTAGACCTAGAGTTGTTTTTTTTTTTAAATTGTACTCGACAAATCTCAGCCGATACCTCGCACAACTCGTTAACGTCTCGTATCTATTGTCGTGACGTCATGGCTCGCTGGCTCACACTTGTGATGTCTCGCACTTGTGATCAAATAACA